CACACACACTCCAGCAATGAGGAGTCGGCCTACTTGAAGGAAGTGGAGAACCTGGAAAGGTGGTGCCAGGATAACAGCCTCCAACTGAGCGTCACCTGAAAGTGGGACTACAGGAGGCCACCTGGCTACATCAACGGTGCTAGAGTGGAGAGGATGAGCACTTTCAAGTATCTCAACTTCCATGTACATGAGGACCTCAACCTAGTCCAAAGACACACACGCTCTGGTCAGCAAGGTGAGGCAGCAGCTCTACCATCTGAGGTCGCTGAGGAGGTTTAAGGTCTCTCCTGCTGTCCTAAAGACCTTCTACTCGGCTGCTGTAGAGAATAAACTGACCATGAGCACTACATCATGGTTCGGGAACTACTCTATACAGGACCGGAAAGCCCTGCAGAGGGTGGTTAGAGCAGCTGAGCACTGCACCAAATCTGCCCTGATCTCCCTACAAGACATTTACACCAGCCGCTGTAGGGCCAGAGCAATAAGAATCTTCAAGGACCCCTCCCACCCCAATAACTTTCTGTTCTGCCTTTCTGTTCTGCCTCTCTGTTCTGAGGCAAATGGTTCTGTAGCCTTATGACCAGAACTGAAAGGTCAAAGAGGAACTTTTTCCCCAGGTCATAAGGCTCTTAAACCAGGACATGTCTCAGTGCCACTAGGTCTCCCACTGGACTCTACAGTGACTCTTCAGTCACTGTAACACTGAAAACACACTGTGCACACTGTGTACATGTGCCCATTATCCCATGAGCACTGTTTACATTCAGTTCATACTGTCTAAATTGTCTGTACATTTCTCAGGTCTCTTACACATTGCACTTAAATTGCACAGCACAATCACTTTGACCGTGTCACTTGTATTTAGATTTTGTACAGCTGAATATATTTTGTATATTTTTTATTTGTATTGTTATCTTTATATTTTATTATTCTCTTATTATGCACAGCTGCTCGGAGTGACCAGAGTCACATTTCACTACATATTGTATGTGTACAACTGTGTATGTGACAAATAAACCTCTTGAACCTTGAATGACCAAACCCCTACCCAGCCTTAACCTTAACCATAAGCAACCAAACAAAGTACAAGACTTTTGGCATTTTTAGTTTTTTGATTGCAATCACAGATCTTTTTGGGGACCTGAATAATGGTTCCCATAACAGGTTTTTATTACATGGAGGGGAACATTTGGCCCCTACAATATAATATAAGCATAATCCACACACACACACACACACACACACATACTGTATATACACAGAGTGACAAAAAAAAGCACCCACACGGACTGGTGGAAATGAAGCACATGGTGAAAGGTCATGTGACTGTATCGCAATGATTATAATATCAGATGAAACGGACAGCAGAGTTGGCGGTATGGGCACAGTGCTGGTCCCATGTCAGTAGGGTGTGGCACCCCTCACCCCTCCGGGCCTGGATACATGCAGTGATATGGTGCGGAAGGGAGTCGTACAGCCATTGTATCCTCTTCTGCTGGCAGTCGGCCCATGGCTGTTGTCACTGGCCCTCGAGATCCTGCAGATTGGCACTGGGTCTCAGTTAATGTCTGAGCTGATCCCTCACATGTTTGATTGGGGAAAGATTGGGGGATCTGGCTGGCCATGGGAGGACCTCAACATGATGCAGGCAGTCCATAGACACATGTGCCATGTCTTTATTAAAAGACTNTGGGGGATCTGGCTGGCCATGGGAGGACCTCAACATGATGCAGGCAGTCCATAGACACATGTGCCATGTCTTTATTAAAAGACTGTACCAGGGCGCTGTCTCAGGAGGGGTAAGACATGCGGACGCAGGACGTCACTGACGTAGCGCTGTGCTGTCAGGGTCCCCTGAATGACCACCAGAGATGACCTGAAGTCGTACCCTATGGCTCCTCAGACCATGATGCCAGGAGTAACGCCAGTGTGTCTCTCTACAGCATTGGCAGGATTGGTCCTCTCCCCTCGGCACAGCCATATATGCACATGACAGTCATCTGATGGCAGAACTGAGATGGCGCTGAACATGGTCCGGCGCCATTCCACATCAGTCCGTGCCTCCCGGTTACGGCGTCATTCCAAACACAGCCGTCTCTGCGCCGATGTTAATGGCAGCCTACACTTAGGACGGTGAACCCGTAGTCCAGCTGATGCCAGTCGTCGAGACACGGTGCAGGATGACATGAGGTGTTGTAGACTGTAGAGATCTCAGTAACTGTGTCTGGAGGGCAGGAGCAGATGTCATGAGGTTGTGTGATGCTTGCCGCACGGTACGATGAACCATCACTGGAATTGATGTCCCTTATTTCTTCAGATTGAAAGGGCCGACCGTAGACATCACCACTCCACCAGGTTAGCATCTCCTAATCTACGATATGTTATCATGTATTCATTTCAGGTTTCCCTGTAGATAATTATACATCCTTTTTCACTCCAGGTTTCTGCCAGTCTGCTTGTACAGCTTTTTAGTGTTATGTACAGATCCACTCACACAATTTAATTTATTATCACTTTATTAATCACTGTAACAGAGTTTGTGTGGTGGGCCCTTTTTAAATAAAAGCAATTCTTTATAAATAGGAACAGAAATTCCACATTTATTTACAGTGCACTGCCAGTGACAACCAGCAGCCGCACAGACAAGGGAAGTTGACAGTTTACATGACATTCACACTTGGGGTTAGACGCCATCGAAAACACATGCAATCCAACGTGAATGCACAGTTACACACATTAAATAACACGATGACACGTATAATCCACGTTGGTAATCTGAATGATCTGNTCCAACGTGAATGCACAGTTACACACATTAAATAACACGATGACACGTATAATCCACGTTGGTAATCTGAATGATCTGCCGTCTTGACTGGCCATGCAGCATCACAATATGTTGTCTGAATTACAGATTAGTGTAGTCAGGAATGGAGGCTAGCATCACATCCATTTGTTACATTGCGACGAATCTTTTATTAAACAAAGTAAGTTGTACAATATGCTTTTAAAAAGATGTTTTGCCCTTTTAGCACAAAATATATAGTAATAATAGAAGTACCATTAAAATGTAACTAGATGACCTTCTCAACACAAACACACCATTTGTTTCGCAGTCAAGCTCAGTTGCATCGCATCAATGCATTGCTTACGTTTACCAGTCTCTAAACACAATACACAAACTGTCGCAGCTGCAGCCATCAATGCCTCATTCTTCAGATGCCTTTTCTTCAGCATCTGAAGACCCTGGTACTTAGATGGTTTCAGTGACAATCTCTCTTACAAGTGGAGGTCAAAAAATGACTGGCTCACCCCTCACCACGATCAGGCATCACCTAACAATCACAGATCAGTTCGTCCCGAATGGACATACAGTAACAGCGTCACCACCCCACAAGAGGCATTCTGCTAACGTTTCTCACGATGTGAGATTTACAGATAATTCTTGCTATGGGAATCCTAGGCGTGATGCATCAGCAGGCATGTCGTACATGAATACTGTGAGAAGAGGGTCCCATGCTTATCACCATGACAAATAAATGTAAAAATTCGGCTGTGTAGATAAAAAAGTAAATTCACTAGCATATCTCTCATGCTATTACTACTGCGTAACCTTTACAAATTAACAAGGGATCTGATTTGTTTACTAGAACAAGAGCATTTGTTGTTCTTTAAAAAAAAAAAAAATTATGATTCAAGAACTCTCTGATCTGGTTAAAAAAAACAATTAACTGATGCTGTGAACTAAATATTAAACAAAATGCTCTGTGTCTGTATGGGGTGGGGGGTTGGGCGGGGGGGGAGTGAGCATTGGTCATTTTTGCATGAATGAATGAAAGTGCCCCCTCTTTGATGTTCGAAGTAAGTAACCAAAGATCATGCAAAAAAACTCCCACCTATTTGAGTTTGTGCATGTCACTGTTAGAGTATCCCCGGAGGAAGAGCCCAGACTGGAGTCTGAAACTCAAAAAAGTTGGAAAAATACTGTCAAAGATGGTATTTATCCTTTTATAGTATTTATCCATGTTATGTGGCTGTTATTAAGTCTGTTCTCATGCTACATGAGCAGAAAATATTTTATCTCTGCATTAAAAGTAAAGTAAACAAATATATGGGGTGTAAATTACATGAGTGCTTTATATTAATTACTGCACCTTCATAATGCAATCATTATGCATTCATAAAACATTCATACTGTCATGGGTCCGAACGGCACGGGAACGGGGCATGATGCACAAATAAGGAGCGGACGACCCACTTGCGGCTCCAGGAACAAGAGGGGTTTATTAAATTAAACAGAAAACACTACAAACAGAACTAAACCAAAAAAAAAGGACCACGAGGGG